ACAGGAGACACAGAGACACAGAGACACAGAGACACAGAGACACAGAGACACAGAGACACAGAGACACAGAGACACAGAGACACAGAGACACAGAGACACAGAGACACAGAGACACAGAGACACAGAGACACAGAGACACAGAGACACAGAGACATAGAGACACAGAGACACAGAGACACAGAGACACAGAGACACAGAGACACAGAGACAGACACACAGACACAGAGACACAGAGACACAGAGACACAGAGACACAGAGACACAGAGACACAGAGACACAGAGACACAGAGACACAGAGACACAAGACACAGAGACACAGAGACACAGAGACACAGAGACACAGAGACACAGAGACACAGAGACACAGAGACACAGAGACACAGAGGCACAGAGACACAGAGACACAGAGACACAGAGACACAGAGACACAGAGACACAGAGACACAGAGACACAGAGACACACAGACACAGAGACACAGAGACACAGAGACACAGAGACACACAGACACACAGACACACAGACACACAGACACACAGACACACACACAGACAGACACACAGACAGACACACAGACAGACAGACAGACACACAGACAGACACACAGACAGACACACAGACAGACACAGAGACAGACACAGAGACAGACACAGAGACAGACACAGAGACAGACACAGAGACAGACACAGACACAGACACAGACACAGACACAGACACAGACACAGACACAGACACAGACACAGACACAGACACAGACAAAAAAAAAACAGACGGCAACATGCTGGTGGTGTGGCGGACAAACTGGGCTGCCCTGACCGCATGCCCGCAGCCGGGGCATGCTCCTGGCGCAGCGCAAGGAGCATGCCAAAACGGGGATCCGCGGATTGAGCGGGGCATCTGTTTGAGGTGTGAACCAAAACCTCCCATCTTCGATCGGCTTGAGGTGTTGTCAATTGAGCGACTCGGACATCTCAGAACTCATTGTTTTGGTGGGCCAAAAGGGCACACGGGCACATCGCCTTGATTTACAACGATTGACAGCTCCTTTTGCTCACCCCTTTGGATTCAAGAATTGGCTGGATGTTATCCAACACGTGTTGTGCTTTTTCACGGTGCTGTCTCCAAGATAAAATTGCCGAAATCGGGGGGTGTTCCCTCAGGTTTGATTCCAAATAACCAGACACTTCCACAAGATTCCCTGTATTTTCTACAATCACCCCACCCAAAGGGAATGGGAGCTCACTTCAATTTCCTCGAGGTTAGGGTACTGCCAAGCAAGGGTGCAGGCTCAGAACAGGATCAAGCAATAAGCACAAGGAAGATGTGTCAAAGGCACGAAAAAGCTGCAACATCTGATCAGCACTGAATTTAAACAAATCAATCGAGCACAGGCTATTCATGCAAAGCCTGGAAACGGTTTTCGCTGATGGACCGTATTTGCTACGTGCGGTCACGACGAGTGAACGCAGCTCAGCCTCATCCTCATCATCCTCCGATGCAAGATCTGCAGGATTCGCAACCAAAGGCCTTGGCAATCGAATCGCGTGACAACACAGAATGAAGCTCATGATTCATCTATGCATGACAATAACCGGACTGTGAACATAACCGACTAGCTGCACCATGCATCCCAGCTAGAAAGCACAGGTTAGAAGCGATCTGCAGCTCTCAAGTCAAACTCGCAGCTGGCTGGCTGCCTTGAGGCTCAGCGGATAGCGAGGGCACCTCTCAGGCTGCGCGTTTGAAGAGTACCTTGTTGGCCGTATAGTCCTCGAGGTTTGGCGATTCGGTTTCAACCAAAACAGACCTCTACTTTCGACGGAACCAAAAGTAGGTTCTTGAAACCACGGGGGACTTCTCTTGCCTCTAAGGGCGCGCCCTAGAAAACCTAAACCCTCAACCTCTATTCTCTACTCTAGTGTTTTTTGTTTATTATTATTGTTTAAGAGATTAAAAAAGAATGAGAAAAAAGAAAAAAAAACGAAGCAGAAAAGAAGAAGCAAAAAAAACGGGCTGTCCTCGAGCACCTTCTCGTGGGCCGCGGTGGTGCCTCCGCCCGCCGAGCAGAAGCCGTTGCCCAGGTCCTCCCCATCGCAGAGGAAGCCGGTGAAGGGGGCCCCCGGCTTGCCGTCGAAGCTGGGACGCACGAGGTTGGCCAAGACCGTCACCTGCGCAAAACACGATGTGTATATATATATATATGCTACCCCCCCCCTCCCAAAACCCAGGTTTTGAACTTGGACAATTGCCAAAATCACTGGAAAAATGCTACTTTTGAGAAACATGTGTATTTCCGCCTCTGCGAAACGCATATTTTGCAAGTTCAAGCAGTAAAATTTGGCAAGTTCAATTAGTTAGTCAAAAAACAGTCAGCAAGTCAACTAAATAGTCAGTTAACTAGTTGTAATGAATTAGCTCTAAACCCAGTTAGCTAGTTAATTTGCTAATCAGTTAGTTATCTATTTAGCTGCCTAGTTAGTTAGATAATACTGAAGATATTCCCCTAGTATTCCCTTCCTTTGCTAGTGAACTATTTGGGGAACACTGGGGGGTGGTGAGGAAACACTGGGGGTATACCAAGAGAATACTAAAGGAATACTAGGGCAATACTAGGGGAATACTAGGGCAATACTAGGTACATACTCAGGGAATACTAGGGCCATATTAAAGGTGAATACTAGGAGAATACTTGGGAATACTGAGGGGGTACTAGAAGTATACCAAGACAATATTTAAATTTATGTATATATATATATATATATATTAGGACAATACTAGGGCAATACTAGGGCAATACTAAGTAGGGAATACTAGGGGAATACTAAAGGAGAATACTAGTGAATACTGAGGGAATAGTAGGGGTATACTCTCAAGCTCAATATGTCTGACTTTTCTCAATATTTAAGTATACCAAACCAAGGATTCAGGGGGACATGCCTGGGGGGGGGGCAGCCCCCATGTTCCCCTGAATCCTTGGTTTTTCAGTTTTTTCAGAGCTTCCTTGAAGAGATGCCCTTACGCAATCATAGTGCCTGGTTGCTCAGACAAGACTAGGGGAATAATAAAGCTGAATGCTAGGAGAACACTGAAAAAACTGAAAAAACTGAAAAAAACTGAAAAAACTGAAAAAACTGAAAAAACTGAAAAACCAAGGATTCAGGGGGACATGCCTGGGGGGGGGGCAGCCCCCATGTTCCCCTGATTTTCAGTTTTTTCAGTTTTTTCAGTTTTTTCAGTTTTTTCAGTTTTTTTCAGTTTTTCCGATTTTTTTTCTTCAGTTTTTTCAGTTTTTCAGTTTCCAGAGAGCTTCCTTGAAGAGATGCCCTTACGCAATCATAGTGCTTGGCTGCAGCATTGGCTGCCAAATGAGACAGATGGAGAAAGTGGGCCTGAAAAGTGTGTGCTCTGGCAGATGCAGTTTTTTGTGAGAAAACACTGGTATTTACAGTGTTTTCTCACAAAACCTGGGTTTTGGGAGGGAGGGTACCATATATATATATATATATACATATATATATATATATACATATTGGCTTTCATAGTGTGTGTGTGTGTCACATTGAAAAAAAAGACAAACATATGTGTGTATATATATATATGTATATATATATATGTATATATGTGGTGGTTTCATAGGGTGTGTCACGTTGCTTTTCTTTTTTGGGGGGACCCCAAAAATGTGTGGTTGGTGTAAAAGGAAAAGCGAATGGAAAACCGCTGCCGTTTTTTTTGGGGGGGGATCCCCTATTCTGAGACAACCCCCATTCAGCACTCTCAGGTTGCCGGGCCTACCCTTGAGTCATGTCCGAAAATCGGGGTGACGAAAACCAAAACCCCCACCTCCAAGTCTGTGTTCTCCTTGGTGAAGATGGCGGTCTCCTTCACGCAGTAGTCGTAGACCAGGCCCACCACCACCATCTTCTGAATGCCCTTGGCACTCAAGATGGAGGAGAAGCTTCGCAGGCCGTCGCTGTCGTCGAGCTGGCTCTTGCCTGGGCTGAAAAATGCTGGGTGGTTAGTGGCTGGTGGTTACCCCCCCTCCAACTAACATGGCACCTGCCCGTGAGCTCTCCCAAACTCTGAAATTGGGAGCTTGCTGTGCCTTTGGGTTTCAAAAAGGACCCCCGAGGGTCCCTTAAGTTGATCTTCAGGCACCCTCCCACAGATGCTACGTTAGTCGCTGGTGGGCAAGAGAAATCACCAAAAAAAACAATTCCTGTTGCAACCGGGAAGGATGCCCAAATCCCCATAAAAATGAGAGAGCATATCTCGACAATAGCAACCACAAAGCAAAAACAAAAGCAAACACAATAGGATGAATGGCAACCACACAGCAAACGTCTCCGCTGAACCGACCCTTGGGAAGCTCGCGGAGCAAACTCTGAAATTGGGAGCAAGCTCTGTGCCTTCGGGTTTAAGGACCAAATGCTTTGGTCACCCGCAAAAACAAAAAAAAAAAAGCGGATCTCCTTTCCGCGGACTCTCCTTTTTGCCAGTGTGCGTGCGTGCGGTATGTGGATGGGTCTGCGATCTGCTAAGCTTTGCGTTGGTGGCCTGGTAAAACACATGGCCCTGGCAATCTTGGGACATAAACCCAATCTAAACCGGCGGAGCCCATCTTTTCCACTCAGACTCAGAACCCCCCAAAACAGACACACACACACACACACACACACTTAGGTTCCTTGTGCGCAGCTTTCCTAAGCCCCGGCCGAGTGGCTAGGGTAGCAGCTGGCATCCGTGTCCCACTTCCCGTGGCAGCTGGCCGCCTCCGCCGCGGGCAGCGCGAAGCTCCCGGTGAACTTCGCCTCCGTGGCCGCCTGCTCCTCCGTGACGCCGCCGCCTGAGACCTGGCCGAGGCGGACCGGACAGATCCTGGGGCCAAGGCCTGGGTCCCTTTTGGAAAAAGATGGCCCTGGTAAATGGAATAGACCCCATCTAAACCAGAGCCCTCTATTTTTAAGCAAACCAACCGAAAAGGACACCTATGGCCTGGGTCCACCTTTGGACGGAGAGGGCCGATGGATGCCCTGTGGGGCGGTTTTTGGAGGTAGGGATGCTCACTAAACCAACTTGAGCCTGTTCAGGTTGCATCTACTCCTTTGGTGGATCTGCCAGC